CTTGTGATTCAAGAGCCAAGGGAGCACACCGAAGAAAGAAAGCCTGTTTTGGGACAAGAATTAGACCAAGAAATAACAGGTAACACTATATAAAATGTCACCAAAAGAGGGTGAGAATAATATAACCTGAATCAGAAACTTAAAGAAACTCTGACTTTTGTTTGATCTACTCCAGCTCCTCAAGGGGCAACCTGAGCTGAGCAGTAAGGATTGGGAGAGGAACTTACTCCACAGTGACTTGTGTACCTGGCCAGGGAGCTTCCCTGTTGGACCCAGATTAGGTTTATAGGGAGTGGATGCACCACTTCCTGTAGAATAAGAATATGACCATGAGGCTCTGGTCTAATAGAAGTAGTAGGACCTGAACACACTTCAACAAGTTGGAGAAGAAGCTTTGCCTGCAGGGCCAATTCAAGGTAATGAATTTGTTTGTGGGTGCAATAGGAAGAGACAGAGTGGAGTTCATAATAGCCTAGAGATACCGGAGGAAATGATCTATTGCTCTGGGACAAGCTGATGAGCTGGCTAAGAGAAAAACCTTAGAAAAAAACAATGAGAGAGTACCATTTGCCTCTGTAGACACTGACCATTTAGCCCACTTTCTACAGTCATCCTTTACAGATGATCCTCTTTCTGACTTGAGCCAGCAATGACTTCTGTAAGGGTGATAACACGTCAGCAGAGCAGTAATACACCAGAAATGAAAATGTGTTTATTCAAGAAAAGGTCACAAATAATGACTGAGCTTCTACTTCTCAAATTTTAGTTTCTGATCCAACCAAAGAAGTGCCTATTCTAAACTGTTACTGCTATAATTATGTGCATAAAACATTTATTAATTTATTTGAAAGTCAGAGTTACAAAACAAGAGGGAGAGACAGAGAGATTTTTTCAACTACTGGCTCATTCCCCAGATGACTGCAACAGGCAAGGCTGGGCGAGGCAAAAGCCAGAAGCCAGGAGCTTCATCCAGGCCTTTCAAATGAGTTACAGGCATCCACGTACTTGGGTCATCCTTTCCTGCTTTCCTGGGCCATTAAAAATGTGTTGGATTGAAAGTAGGGTAGCCAGTATATGAAACAATGTTCATATGGATGCAAACATCACGGGTGGCAGTCTGGACCTGCTATACCAAAAGAGTAGCCACAGCATTAAGTGAATATAGCACTGTAATCCATAGATGCTAATAGATTTCACAGGTAGCATTACACCCTCTGAACATCCAACAGGATGCAGGTGGAAACAGACAGGAGACCTCATGTATAGAATTCTGTGTAAGTACATATACATGCTACAACCTGGATAACCCTTGAAAATGTTACACAAAGTGAAAGAAGCCAGGTGCAAAGTGTCAAATGTATTATTCTATGCACCAGAAATATTCCAAATGGGATCTCCAGAGAGAATGTGGGGGAGTGGATGCCAGGCATTGTAAGATAGAAATGGAGAGGCCAGCGCTGTGGCTCACTAGGCTAATCCTCCACCTTGCAGTGCTGGCACTCCAGGTTCTAGTCCCGGTCGGGGTGCTGGATTCTGTCCCGGTTGCCCCTCTTCCAGGCCAGCTCTCTGCTATTGCCCAGGAGTGCAGTGGAGGATGGCCCAAGTGCTTGGGCCCTGCACCCCATGGGAGACCAGGATAAGCACCTGGCTCCTGCCATCAGATCGGCATGGTGTGCTGGCCACAGCACACCGGCTGCGGCAGCCATTGGAGGGTGAACCAATGGCAAAGGAAGACCTTTTTCTCTGTCTCTCTCTCTCTCACTGTCCACTCTGCCTGTCAAAAAAAAGAGATAGAAATGGAGAGTTTATCAAAATATTCTAGAATTGGGGATGATTGAAAACTCTGCAATATAACAAATGTATGCCTAACAGTGGTAGATTTTACGGTAGCTGAATTTTACTTCAATAATAATAGCAATAATGTGTTTTTTCACATTATCATGCCTCAGTTTCTTATTTCTATAATAGCAACATATTTCTACTGATTTTAAAGGCAGAGAAAGGAAGAGGGGGAACCAGTGAGAGGGAGATTTCCCATCCTCTGTGTTACTATACCAATGCCTGCAACAGCTTGGCCTGGGCCAGCCTTAAGAACGAAGAATAGACCTTAATTCAGGACCCCCACATTGATGGCAGTATTTTCCAATCTTCCTCCCAGGAATTGGAAAGAGGAAACTGAACTGCAATGTTTGCCCAGCCAGTGATATAGAGTATGTCTTTACAAGCAGTATCTTAATCCTAGTGCCAAATATCACCCTCACTCTGCTCTTGTTCCCTGCATCTTTATCCAACAGTGCATCTCCAATTAATAGTGAGTGGCCAGAATGTGGAGCTGACGATCCATTGTGACAAAACCTCAGAAGAAAATTTTGAATTTGTGAATGGCTTTTAGCAGAAATGAGGCAGAGGTAAGTGATGTTCCCATGTGGAAAGACTTCTGTCAACTTAATTGGAAATGTTTTAAGGGATTTGCAGGTAGAGGGATCTGTACCTGAGATCTGGCTCCAGTTCTCACATCAGGGGGACCTGGGCAATACTCACTCCACCTTGTTTTGTACATCAGCAGCAAGTGGAAATGCAACGCTTTCCTCACAAGTTGAATGCATTTGAAATAATAATCATCCCACCACTGTGTGAATTCAGTGACATCAGAGGGTTCCAACCTGATAACTCCTTTGCTCTAATAAGTATGAGGAAGTATTACTTGTATACTTATTTAGTCTCTATAGAAATCAGAACAATTCTGGTTCAGGGAAGAAAGCCTAAGCCACTGATTCCATCTTTCTAAGAGTAAAATATTCTCTATATGCATATATTGTGGGTCTAAAAGCCAAAAGTCTTCAGAGGGAATGCTAAGTATTAGAGTGGATTCCAGGAAAGCCATTCAAATGAAGACTCAAGTCTTGTACTTCTCTTGATATCCTAAAGGATAGTCTATGTCACCGGAGTAGTTTCACGTCATATGGAAGAATGCTGCACATGCCCGTGCACTTTGCTCCTGATGATCCAGGAGTGCAGTCCTCTGTACAGGCAAATGATGCTGCAATGAATACTTCTCTGGTTCACTGATCGCTCTGCATGAACCAGTGAAACACAAACATTTAAACCTGGCTAAAAAGGTGCTGCCTGTCCCTCTCCTGTGTTTGCTTCTGCTTACACTGCTGTCTCAAGGATTGTAGTGAGAATGAAATGCCATCACGTGTAGAGTACTTAGCCAGAGGCCTGGCATATGCTACTCAAGTAGTTGTTACTGTTATAATGATCTTTTACTAGCACTGCCCAAGCTCATCCTTGTGTGAGATTGAGATATGTGACTTTGTGCTCCCCATGATTGTCATTTTGACAAGGAAGGTTTTGATATATATTACTTTCTGCCACTGAATGTCAAGTCCACTGACACAAGAAAATAAATTTTAAAAGAAACCTTTCATTCATCTCACAAAATGATACCATTATACAGTGTCTTTGGGAGACAGTGTAGGGTGGGTAGAGAGGCTTTAGAAGGTATTCGATCCATTCCACTTCTTCCTCTACTTGGAGAGGAATATTCAGCATCCCAATGTCAGTCCCCTTGCCACCCCAAGTTAGATAAGTCCAGCAGCTGAACTGAAGAAACCTAGACTCCAGGAGAGTCCCCTAAGTCTGAGGTTCATGAAAGCTGGTTGGGAATGGAAGCCAAGAAAGTGAGAAGGTGGGTGCTCCCACCACAGTATCAGCTTGTACTGCACATGCACACGGTGGATCACCAGGCACCACAAAAGCATGCTCAGTGTTAACAGTGATTTTTAGTGGAATTCAGCCATCATTCAATAGGGTTCAACCATATAAGAAAAAAAATCTATCAGTTAACATTGCATAAGAACTACCACTGGGCCCTGTTCAACTCTATATGTGTTGGAACCAAAGGAAAACATCTGAAAAGTAGCATCAGCTTCATATCTATTCTAGACATAGATGGTGACTATGTGTATGCAGGAGAATATAGATAAACTATTGGAGTGCCTTGGTATCTTTAAAATGATCTCTTTTGGGTTTAGAACAAAACATGCAAGTGACAAGTAGGAAATGCTGTATTTAATGACACTGAAAACAAAACAATGCCCCCAAAGTCTGAGGAAGGACTTAGGATGTAGGGAGGTCTAACTGATTTTAGTAGTGTGAAATGGCAACATGCTGCCTGTGTGAGGGAAGAGAAGCCATTACAACACTGAGTAGAGCCAAAAATATTTTGAGACAGGACGGGACACAAATTATTATTTTTTCATTCTGTACGTGCTTTACTCTGCTTTCTGACCCTACACTATTTAATGGCTATAGAAAGGCTTGCAGAAACCCAGAGAAGAGCATCTTGGTAGTTTATCATGTGACATGTCTCCCTGGAGGAAAAGCCTGGAGACCCATTTTAACAGAAAGACAGGGTGAGTGACTTCCTGAGAGCGCTTTGAGGAAATAACACTTGTTTGGAAATGAATTCTTCCTTAGTGTTTTCCACCACAGGGAGGGAGGGAGAGTGGGAAATGTGCTTAGATTTTCCTAGTGGAAAATGCAGGTGTTTAAAATCAGCACTGGGCGCGCTGCTCCTGAGAATGAGGAATGAGTTGGTGGTGCCTTTAAGAAGGGACCAGGTATCCTTGGCGACAGGAAGTCAACAACTCCTAACATTCCAGTACCGGCCATCTTCTCATTCTGCTATTGCTACTTCCAACAGTTACTTGGCAAGCTGGCAAGCAGGGAGTTCGTTCTCTCACTTGTGACAGTGACTGAGTAATAAGAAGTCGCTTAAAAGCTGAGTGTTGATCACTTAATAGTGACAGGATTTTGATTGAAGACTTTGAAGTTCTGTGGGGTGTTTCCCAACAGTAAGTTCAGAAATATGGCTGTTGTCATCCCCCAGCCCTCATTAGAGCTATTGAATGTCATTTGTTGTAACTCATTCTGTTCTTGGGTATCTTCCACCTAGTCTCTGGAGCCCCTGGTCTGCCAGAACCATCAGAAGTGGCAGTACCACTGAGCCCTTCATCCGATCCAGCCAATAAAAATAATATGATTGCGTGTAACCAGGCATTGCATTGCCGACTAGCAGAGAACCAGCGGGAAATACAAGATCTGAAAGAGATAGTTCATCATTTCAGCTTCATCCTCCACCAAGAGGAAAACAGTGAGTTCCATAGGTCCTCTCACTAAAGTGGTAAATGATGATTTTGTCCCTCTGAGAAAATAAAGGCTTTCTAGGTTTGGTTCTTCCCTTTATCCTAAGAAAATCCATTGTTACAATACTCTGAGAACTGTATAAGCTATTTTCATGTCAATTTGGAATAACCAAGGCACTAGTTAAACTTTTCCATGTTTCCTTTCAGTGTGGGGTGAGATGTCAGTTAACTGGCAACCTCTTTGTCCTGTACCAGCTGGTGTGGGTTTCATGTATGGGACTAATGAACTTCTACTCAATTCAAGCTTCTTTTGAGTTCCAGTTGGCAAATCCTTGGGCTGGTCACACAGAGAAATGTGAAGAGTCCACAAGATCTCTGTTATAGGTGCTAATGGAGTCTGTGCGGACATTGTGGTACTTGTAAATGACATTGTCTAGACCAGGGACTGCCCTGGTCAGGGGGAAACACACTCATGGAACAAAAGCTCTTCTCGAAGAGGAAGAAGGCTCCTGAGTCTTTGTGGTAGCACAGAGCAGAATGTAGAGCAGGGACTCTGAGACCCTCCCTGGGCTTTTCTCCAACTTGCCAATCTCTGCATGCCTTAGACCCCTCCTCGGTTCCCACAAGTGCTGTCATAATTCCTACCTCTGTAAATTGTTGCCATGAAATATGGGATATATTTTTTGTACAATATGTAAGGTGATTCCTGGCCTGGAGTAGATTTATTCATTCCTTTTCATTTTTTTTCTAATTTAACAGGAGCTGTATTAGTAGGTGTGTATATTTCTTTCAGGGCCTTTGGGTGTTTAGCACTGTTTTTACACAATTCTACTTAGCTGTGATTTTGTCTTTGGAAACTCCCCAAACATGAAAGTTGAACTTCTCAGCATAGAAGAACCACTATCCCCAGTGCTAGTGTACTTTACCAACCATACCTAGGTCACTGCTTCATGCTACAAGTTAGTGCTTGACTTAAAAACCTGCAAGGTGTGCTAACTACACTGCCATGATTCAGTCACAGCTTAGTGGAAGGGAATTCTGATTCTGTCAAATACCAGTTGAACTGCCTTGTCAGGTCACCATTCACCTTGGAACACTGTTCACTCTAAATGGGGGATTATCAGATATCCTGTTGTTGGGAGGTGGAGAGACAAAGATGAAGAAATGCTTACCTGGAGTGTGGTACTAGAGTGGCTCCTCCCTAGAGACAGTGACCTCAGCTGTGTGTCCAGCTGTCCACTGAGGCAGGTGTGTCTGTTTCAGATTATGGTGAGGGCCAAGAGGTGATTCAATCCAGGCTAAGGGAGAAGCCAGCACTTGGAACTCCACAGCTTGAGAAGCTGGCACCTGCTGAGTTCAAGTAAGTGGGGCTTCGGGCATTACAAGCAGGAGGAAGATATATGTGGTATCAGTGAAGTGGGCCAGCTCAGCTGGGGAGACAGACTTGCATCAGGAGAAGGGCAGGAATTTACATGTTGGGGACCTATCTCATAAATATTTATAAAACATGTGCACAACAATGAAAATACTACTTGATGGGCTGTGGTGCTTATCAAAGCCTCCTTTCCTCTTCAAAAAACAAGGAATTTCTTGAGTTCAAATTCTCATAACTAACCAAACAGAGGATAGTGAGCAACACATGGCGTGGTATGCACATGATGTGTTGTCATCACCGTGTCATTCTCTCTAGATCACCATCACCTCCTGATTGAGGATATTGTCTAAGGACCCTGCCAGCCTTTCATTTCTTTCTGAAGAACACCAGTAATAAGGGACATGCATCTGAGTGCGCCTTGGTGTTCAGTCACTGCAGTGGGATATGTGTTTTACTTGGAAATGCCTGTGGTTGAAGTTAGCAGCTAAAGGAGCTGCTGTGTGTAGGGGATGAAGGAAGAGTCCTGGCAATGTGGACTGAACACAGGGTCACCCTCTAACACAGGGGAAGCTCTCGTTTTGTCTTCTTCACCACAAGCATTTACCGAACCTGTCAGTGCTGCTGTTTGCAGGGCTCTGTGGGAAAATTCTCCATGAAATCTGTTGAAATACAGAGATGGTGTCATGCACATATTTCTATCCTTACATTTTCTCTCCTGTCCTACCTTAGGAAATGCCATGTAAATAAGGCACGCACCCGCAAGCGGCGCCGGCTACGTAAGAAGTCAAGAAAACAGACACAGATTTGTCATCTCAGCCTACATCCCAGGGCCCTCCTCACCCAGCATGACCCTGACAGCCGCCACACATGGGGCTTGCTGGAGCCACTGGTTGTTCATGTCAGGCTGGAAAAGCATCTTGTCTACAAATGTAGCCTGGGTAAGGGGACCTCAGGCTCTGATTTCAGAAAGTCTCAAATTTACAGGAGACTCCACTTCCCTGCAGGAGACATTTTCCTGCTACCTTGTTTTCATTGAAATACCTGTGGCCATGACATGATCAGGAATTCTGGATGAGAACTAGAGTGAGAAACGCACAGGCTTGAAGTTCCTAGCATTGCAGAAGTCTCCATTTTTCCCAGTGCAGGTGGCCTTTGATCAAGATGCAGTATCCATCCAGTTTGAAAGGATAGGAAGGAGGTTGGGGCAGGTGGTGGCTTGTAAGAGGGAGATTGAGCCCTGTGCTGAGAGTGAAAGGGCCCACCTGTGTCCTCAGCACTGTTTTCACTGATTGTAGAAAGATCATTGATTTCTTTTCTGTATTTCTGTTTCCTCTTCTACGGAGTGGGCCCATGAAATGTTTGCCTGGCAGTTGCGGCATTGCCATTAGGAACAATTACACATGTAATTGTTTTAAATAAGACACAGCCTTTGCCATGTGGCATCGTTACATATACTTGAGGCAGTAGAACCTGTCTCTTGACGATCTATGCTTGCACACTGCCAGAGGCATCTTGTCTACATCTCTGTTGCAGACATAACCCACATTTCTCCAAACATAGCCCATCCTCTGTATCTTTTAAGTTCTCTTCTTCCAGCTCATTATCCATCTAAACCTAGGACATAAAATTGAAGCCACTCCCATACTTCCAAGATTTCCAGAGGCAACAATGACCACTGTAGCTCGTAGTGGTCATGAATGACAACTGTTTCTGTGAAGCATCGAAGACTAATCTTGAGAAGAAATTGAATATATCTCATCCTCAGTCTCACCTCAGTGTATAGATTCCTCTAAATCATCTACATCCTGACATTCTAACAGGAGAAAAGTGAATAACTTTTAATTCTTTTAGAATGCAGATAGGGTAGTTTCCCAGAAATAGTGGGGAAAAGATGAGGTTCATTATTTTCAAGACAAAGAGGTCTGGATATGGATTTTCATGCCAAGAAGGTTTTGCTCAAAGGGTCAGCACATGAAATATTTCTCTCACTGTATGCCATTGTCAAATAGAATTTATGGGTATTACTGTGTCATTGTCAGGAACTGGATTGTACATGTACTAGGACCTCCCTAATTTGACCATCCGTGTTGGAATTTATTTGCAGCAAAAGAAATGACGCAAATGAAGGGTGGTTGCTGGGACTTAATCTGCCCCAGGTAAGACTAAGGAATCATGGATATTTCATTGATATTGACATCTGGGGACTCATATTTTAGGGAGAAACTGAATATGCTGAATGGAAGGATTTCACACACCCTAGGTGATCACACTGTTTCTCTATGAAGAGTATTATTGTAATCATTTTGGCACCCATAGATTGCCATTTCTTTCTCAAACACCCATGTGGTCTCCATTAGGTTGCTTCAGATCAACTGGACTTTACAGGGGTCTCCTGCAGTTATTACTTCTGTTGTGCATAGATTAAAAGACAGGGTTCCTTATCTTCTTTTTTTTTTCTCATCTCTGTGTTTATGGAGATGGCTGATAGAAAGAAGTACAGGGGAAAATACCATACCAAAATGTTGAGAAAGCCAGCAGGGTGGCCACAGAACTAGAAGCCCACTGTGCTGTAGCAGGTATATTACCACACCTGAGATTAGTAATATTCAACTGATTTTGTCGAATGTGACAAACACTATTTGTTCTGCTTGTATCTGGGTGTCATGAGGATTCCATTACTGAGCATCACAGCTCTTTGTTCTTCAGCCAGAATCCTGGCCATCTTCCAACACCATCTCTCCATCCTTTTTCTGGTGCTTCCACCTGTAGCTCATGCTGTGCCTCCACATCCTGCAGTTCCTCACTTTGCTCAGCAAGGGGAGGATCCTGCTCAGACAGCTGTTAGCTGAAAGGCCCATTTTCATTGGTGGCAGAATCAACCTGCCTGTGATGCAGGCCTGATAGGGCCCTCTAGTACCTTAACTACCATGATAACTTCTCCACCCTTCCTAATCCAGCAGGATCAGTGGGTGCTTTCCACCTCAAGTAGAGCCTGAGTTGGTACCAGGGCTGATCATGGGTGAATATTGTTGGTGCATCATCATGAAAGCCACGCTGGTTATGCAGCAGCGTTATCCTGGTGGTGGCTGGACGATAGTGCTGGAAGAGTACTCGTGGTGCACAAGGTTTGGAGGTGAGTACACCAACCTGGGGGGTGCTTCCAGTGCCACTTAGGGTAAGGAGTAAACCCCAGCATACTTGCCTTGCTCTCACAAAGACCCTGGCGTGGTTGGGCAATGGATGGGCTGCTCTAGTTGGACTAGATAGGAAAGCCTAAGAACCCCCAGAGGGAGTTTGAAGCAAAGATGTCATGTGGGTCTACACCTGTGTGTTCACCCAGTAGCTCTGCTTCCCCAAAGGGTGGTTTTCCTCAGCACACTGCTGTGCTGCAGCTCCTCTAGCAGGGGCAACATGGCAGCAGTTTGTGGATCCCAGTGTGGTGTGCATCAGCCCTGTGCACATGGCATGGTGTGTTCCAAGCCTACACTTGTACTAGTGGATCAAGTGGCCAGTGGCAGTCTTCCTTGTGAGATCCCTGTCCCAGTCACATGCTATGACACACTGCCTGTAGGGGCCACTATCATCAAAGCTACCCTCTCCACTCGTGATCTCAGGAAAGACCCAAAACCTCTAAACTGAGACACAGCATGTCACTCTCCCACATTGAGTTGATGTCACTCTTTCCTTATCTAGAGCCCTTGGCCATACCACTGATTGCCATGTGGAGGGAACCAGTCTGATCATTATGACTCTCACAGGTCCCTAACATTTGGGGTGTGTTCATGACCCTAAAAACCCCTATGGGAATAGGTTCCAGGGCTTTCCCCATCCAACCTATGGCACACTGCAACATGAGAATCACAAAGGCCTGGCTGTTAGTTGTGGGGAGGCTCTTTAGGGCAGCTGTTGAGGAAGAAACCAGCTGGGCCATTTGCAGTGATCCCACGGGGCCAAACAGCAGCTGGTCCCTTTTGGAGTTTGGGGATGCCTGATATGCAGGAGGCAGGCAGACTGGAAGAGAGAAGTGGTCCCCTGTTAATGGGCAAAGGCCACCAAGACAGCTGTCAGCAGGCATCTCCCTGGGCCTCTGGGGGTGTTCTGACCTATAATTGGGCTCTTTGTCTCACAGCAACTTCCCTATCTAAATTTTATTGTAGTCTATGGGAATTCCCTTGAGGACAGAGTGCCACATGAAGCCAAACCTGCGTAAGTCTACAGATGGATGGAGGGTTCTTTGGTATGGACATTTGGAGGTAGAAGGCATGGGGAGGAGAGAATGGGCCCCACGGAGTAATTACCCCTCAGAGCTCATTCTGAGGACTCTGGTAGCTCCACTTTTCTCCATGTGCTGAGGTGGATCCCCACCTCCCACCTCCATTGGACATCTGCATGTGGTGGCCTGGGATCCAGTCATGTTTCCAGGTCATTGCTGCTTTCACAGCTTGTGTGGCCTCCATAAAAATTGGGGAGCCCTTCCCTAGGCCTCTCTGCTTCTCCTTCCTCAGTGTCCCCATGGGACTTTGATAAGGACGCAAGTGGCCAATGTCTTGGGTCATGCCCCAGTGCTGAAGGAAATGGGGCCAGGAGTCCTGCATTGAATCTGCATCTTATTGGGTCTGTCCATTCCCTGTGAAGGCTCACTTTGTCTCAGAATGGGAAGTTCACAGTCCAATGGCTCTTAGATGATGGCATGTTTTCAATGAATGACAGACCCTTTCTTCCTGCTAGGAAAGCCAGGTGGGACTAGGGTGGACAGGAATGCCTGTGTGTTAAACCCTCATCCTTTCCATCTCCCCTCTACATTTGCACTTCAGATTGTGTGAAAACCGATCTCTAGCTGAAGGGCATCGCATCATGGCATGCACACACCTTGCAGATGCACCTTACATGTGGCATGCCTCCTGGGGGGACAAGCTGGAAATACTGTTCCAGGCCTGGGCCAGGGTCCAGCAGCCCTTAGCCCAGCAGTCCATCCACTGGATAGAGGCCATTGAGGGTGAGTGTCCCACTGGGAATCTTGCTGCAGCCCTTCTGGAGTTCCTGCATTCACCATAACATCCTTGGCCCTCTGGTGAAAGGTGTGATGTGGTGGGAAATCCTAAGGGCACATGTGGATGGGTGGAGGCAGGCGTGAGGATGGAGTTTGCAACATAACGATAGCATGGGTCTACACCTTTGTCTTAGCCTTGTATCCCTGGGTCACAAACACCTTTGGCCTCAAAGCCCCTGTTGGGTCTCCTTGCCTGAGGCCCCTGCAATGGCCATGGAGCCTTTAAAATGCATGTGGCATGGTTTCTGCCAGGCCTCCACTTGGGATAATGGAATTGTTTTTGTGTGCAGTGGCAGTCTTTCTTGTGAGATCTCTGCCCTAGCCACATGCCATGACACTGCATGGCTGCCAGGGTAGCTGCCATCATGACCAGCTTTCAGCACATGATCTTACCCAGGTCTCCCTGAACCAGTCTATACTCTGTCTTCCATGTTGACTTCACACCTCACTGATGTAGAACCCTTGGCCATGTCTTGAAGTTCCATCTTGAAGCATCCAGTGTAATTTTCATGCCTATCAGGATACCCTGCAAACCCTGCAAACCCTGCATAACTGCAAGGACTCCAATGAATGGGAGACTCATGGGTTACACTTGTCCATCCCAAATACCCTCAGGTATTTGACCCTTAGAGCCCATAGCTCCCATTAGTTGATGTACAGGGGGGAGGCAGTTGGTATGAGCCTCCTATGTTGTATTTAATCTCTTAGAGCACACCTGACACATAGCCAGGGACCCTTAGTGAGGAAAGTGGCTGACCACTTGTGGAACATCAGGATGCCTATTGTGTGGGATAACATGCTACCCAGACAGGGAAGGAGGTCTCCATTTATTGACAGAGGACTTGCCACTGTAGGCATGACCTCCTGGGAATGAGACAGTTGCTAACAGAGGCAGTGCCACAGGCAGACGGCATAGAAGTCCTCAGATGCTAATGGGACATTGCACAGTACTTGTACTTTACTTTACCATAGCATTTGCATGTCATCTCATTTACTATTTCCTGCTCATTTTTCTCCTTTGCAGGGTATGATACCTCCTCCCAAAAGGATGAAGTGGTATCTGCAGACAGAGCTGAGGTTATTATCCCCAGGTAAATCTACAGATGGGCTGAGGGTATTTTTGTATGGACATGTGGAGGTGGCAGACACGGAGAGGAGAGAAGTGCCCTGAGAGCCATTTATACCACTCAAAGGTCCTCCCATGAAGACTCCGGGAGCACCTCTTGGAAAATCCATGTGCTGAATCAGGCCTCAAACACTGTGTCCTTAACCTCGCTGAACAACTGCATAAGTTCCCCTGGGAATGAACTGCTTCTGTGTGGCATTCACGAAGTGAGGAGCCACTCCCTCAGCCCCTCTACTTGTCCCTCATCCACATCCCTGCAGTACAATGACAAAGACAGGGAATATCCAATGCCCTGACACACTCCACAGTGCTCACAGCAATGGGCACACAGTCCCAATCTGGTCTGGGGTATTAAAGTGCTTTAGCTTCATTGGGACATTGAGCGCCAAGGGGATTCTATTCCCTGAAACTAGACAACTGGCTTCTGGCAAGCTTGTTCTTTCCTGTCCCAAGGGTGCTGGAAGAGGGGCACCAGAGCCCTCTGCTCCTGATGTGCCTTCTGGCCTTTATCTGACAGCATCCTCTGCTCCTGTGTTTCTGTCTAACCCTCTCTATGTCCTGCTGGGTCTGCCCTATCTTTGTGAAAACTCACTTTGTCTGAACAAGGGGAAGATCTAGATTGGATGGCTCATAGAGGATGGTCCTGTCCCTTTGATTAACAGACCCTTTCAGACTGCTAGGAAGGTTTGGTGGAACTGGGTTGGAACTGAATGACCTTGTGCTGAGCCCTCATCTTTTCCACCTCTTCCATCCTCCCCTCTGCATTCACACCTCAGGGTGTGTGGAGATCCACCCCCACTGGAAGGGCCAGATACCATCGTGCCCATCCTGAAGGAAGATGAATCCTACCTGCTCTGTGGATTTTGGGCTGATGAGCCTGAAGCACCAGCCCAGGCCTGGTCTGAGACTGTGAAATGTACAATCCAGCAGCCCCTCTGCTGTGCTGAGGCCATTGTGGGTGAGTCCTCTGATTTGACTCTTGCTGCAGACTTGCCAAATCTCCTGAGTGCACCCCAATGCACTGCTTGATCTAACCTGCCAAGGACAGGTGGTGATCTGAGAGGCTGTCCCCTGGCTACATCTGAGTGGACTATGGGAGAACCCTGGATGGAGTTCAAAGCACAGATGTAGTGTCTTCAGGTGTTTCTTAACCTCAGAGCCCAGATTATGCTCTGTATTCCTGCACTGGACCCATCCATGTCTATGTAGCAGAGGCCAGAGTGATGACATGGCCCCAGCTATGCAGTCTGCACTCACTCATGCTTGTGAATAGGATGAGCAGGATGCCTTTGGGCAGTGGCAGGCTTCCCTGTGAGACCCCTGCGCCAACCATGTGACATAACACTGCATGCCTGATGGGAACTGTAATCATGGCTACTTTCTCGGCCTGAGATCCTTAACCTGATGCCCCTGAACTAGGCCATGCTGTCTCTCTCATTCCCGTTCTATTGTCATCACTCCTCATCTGGAACCCTGGGCCATGTGCAGAGGGTTCCACCCTGGGGTAGCCTCTGCTGACCTTTTGCCTGTCAGGATCCACTATGTGCCACAGTGCTGCATGAAATCAAAATGTTCCTGTGTGTGTGAAGATCTATGGGCTTCACATGTTTATGTTGTGGCAGGGTGCTCATATGAGCCTGGGACTAGCCCCATGTTGTGCAGTCAGTCTCTTAGAGCACATAGACCGAGGACCCAGATGGCTGATGGCTGCTTCCCCCTTGTGGAAGATCAGGATGCCTAAAGTGTGGGATACCACACTCCCCAGATGGGGAGAGAGTTCTCCTTGGGTTGGCAGTAGACTTGCCACTGCAGGCATGTCCACATGGGTGTGAGGCTCTTATTAGCATAGGCAGTGAAACAACCAGACAGCATGGGCGTCCTTGGAAGCTCCGTGACAGTGGGCAGCCCCTGAGCTTTATGATGCCATCTCATTTACATGTCATCTCATTTACCACATCCGGCCCCAATGGCCATTTTTACAGTGGAAGACCTTTCCTACAAAAGGAGGAAGGGGAGGTGGCAACTGCAGTCCAGGCTGAGCCTATCCCCAGGTAAGTCTACAGATGGGTTGAGGGTGTTTTATCATGGCCATCTGGATAAGGCAACACTGGAAGGAGGGAACATGCCCTGTGAGCCATTTATACCATGGAAAGATCCTCCCACAAGACTCTGGGAGCAACTCTTGCAAGCTCCCTGTGCTGTAGTGGGCCTCAAACACTGTTCAGGTCAGCCACCTCTCTCCAACTTCCATTGGACAGCTGCATAAATTTCTCACAGAACCAGTCACCAGTCCGGTTTATTCCTAATGTACTGTTTCATGCGGCCTCCATTAAAAGTGTCCCTCATCAACATTGATGCAGTATGTTGATAAAGACAGGGAATGTCCAATGCACCAACACACTCCACAGGGCTGACAGAAGTGAGACTCAATCCCGAGGTGGTTGAGGATACTAAAGTAGTTTAGCTGGGTGGCAGAATTCCATAAAGCTGATTCTTTTCCTTGAAGCTAGAGAACTGGCTTCTGGCCAGCTTGTCCTTTTCTATCCCCAGGGTCTGGGAATGGGTGCTAGAGACCTCTGCTCCTTGGCATGGCTTCCGGCCTTCCTTCTGTCTTCCTGTGCAGTCTTCCCTAAGTTCTACTGAGTCTTCCCTATCCATGTGAAAACTCACTTTATCTGAACCTGGGGATGATCCAGATCAGATCGCTCTTAGAGGATAATCCTGTCCCTGTTGGGTAACAACCTTTCCAACTCCTTGCAAGATTTGGTGGGACTGGGTTGGAACTGAATGACTTTATGTTAAGCCCTCATCTTTTCCACCCTCCTCTCCTCTCTGCACTCATACCTCAGGGTGTGTGGAGATCCACCCCCACTGGAAAGGCCAGATGTCATCCTGCCTATCCTGAAGGATGATGGGTCCTACATGCTCTGTGGATATTGGGCTGATGGGTCTGGAACACCAGTGCAGGTTTCTGCTGAGCCTTGGCACCTTACAACCCAGCAGCCCATCTGCTGTGCTGAGGCCATTGTGGGTAAGTCCTTTGATTTGAATCTTGCTGTTGCCCTACCAAAGCTCCTGAGTGTACCCCCAATAACCCTGGCCTGCTTGCTGTAACTCCCCCAGGGAAGGTGGTGATGTGGCTGTCCCATGGCTACATCTGAATGGACAGAGGCAGAACCCTGGGTGAAGGGGAACAAAATAATTGTAGGCAGGTGTCTCTTAACCTTGGAGTCCCAGGTTATGTTCTCCTTTCTGGCACTGAAACCAGCCAAGATGCTGTACCAGAGTCAAGTGTGATGGCATAGCCCCAGTTTGAAGTCATACACATGATAGGTTTATTCTAGGCCTACCCATGGAAGAGCTGGATGCCTTTGGCCAGTGCCAGGATCTCCTGTGAGACATCTGTCCCAGCTATGTGTCATGACACTGCATGCCTGCCAGGACAATTATAGTCCTGGCTATGTTCTTGGCCTGAGACCTTAACCAGATGCCCGTGACCTGGGCCATTCCTTCCCTTGTTCCCTTTGTGGTGACTGCAGTCCTCATCTGGAATCCTGGGCATGTTCTGAGGGTTCCATCCTGGGGTAGCTGGTGCTGGCCTCGTGCCTCTCAGGATCCTCCAAGAAGCACAGTGTCTGCATGGCACCAAAAGGTTCCTGTGTGTGTGAAGCTCGATGGGATTCATATGATCATATGGCAGCAGAGTGTATGAGCTGGGGAGCCCCACTCTAGTGGCTGCTGAATGGGACAAGTCTTCCATCATGTGGTTGGTCTCTTAAAACATTCAGACAAAAAGGCCATTGACTGACATGGTTGAAAGCAACTGACTATGTATGTAAGATCAGGATGATATTTGTGGGGTGTCACACTCCCCAGACAGGGAGGGAATTCTTTTTGGTAAATGCCATCTCATTTACCATGTCCTGCCCCATTTGCTTTCCTTTGCAGTAGAAGATGCCTCAAGCCAAAAGGAGGAAGGAGAGGTGGCATCTCCAGACCTGGCCGAGGCAAACCTCAGGTGAATCTACAGATGGGTTGAGGGTGTTTTAGTATGGACATGTGGAGATTGCAGACACAGGGAGGAGAGACTGTGCCCCATGAGTCATTTATACCATCAAAGCTCTGCCCATGAAATCTCTGGGAACACCTCTTGCAAGCTCCATGTGCTGAGGTGGGCCCCAAACACTGTCCAGTTCACCACCCCCTTAACCTCAATTAGATACCTCTCTAAGTTTCCCTAGGAGCCATTTAACTGTCCAGGTCATTCCTCATGCCCCTGCTCCTGTGTGTCCTCAATAAAATGTCAGGCACCCCTCCTTCGACCCTCTGCTTGTCCCTCATCAGCATCCCTGCAGTATAGTAATTAAGATAGAGAATGTCCAGTGCACAGATACACTCCACAGTGCTGCAGGAAATGGGACTCAATACTAAGGTGGTCTGGGGTGCCAAAGTGCTTTAGGTGGTTGGGAGCATTCCACACAAAGGGGCTTCTTTTCCCTGGAACTAGACAACTGGCTTTTGGTCAGTGTGTCCTCCTATTCTGTCCCCAGGGAGCTGTAAGGGGGGACACCAGAGCCCTCTGACCTCAGTGTGACTTCTGGCCTTCTGCTCCCAGCCTCCTCTCCTTCTATCTCCTGTCCTTTCCTCTCTTCATTCTACTGGGTCAGCCCTATCCATGGGAAGGTGCTTTTTGAACATGAGGGATATCAAGATCACAAGGCTCTTGGAGGATGGCCCCATCCCTATTGGATGAAAAATGCTTTCAGAATGCTAGGAAGGTTAGATGGGTCTGGGTTGGAACTGAGTGACTTTGTGTTAAGCCCTCAACTTTTCCACCCCTCTCATCTTCCCCTCTGCATTCACACCTCAGGGTGTGTGGAGATCCACCCCCACTGGAAGGGCCAGATGTCATCGTACCTATCCTCAAGGATGATGGGTCCTACATGCTCTGTGGATTTTGGGCAGATGATGATGCTGAAGCTCCAATCTGGGCCTGTGCTGGGGCCTGGCACCCTACAACCCAGCAGCCCATCTGCTGTGCTGAGGCCATTGTGGGTGAGTCCTTTGATGGGAATCTTGCTGAGACCTGCCAAACCTCCTGAGACCACCCCAATAACTCTGACCTACTTGCTGTAACCCCCCAGGAAAGGAGGTGATGGGTAGGCAATCACATGGCTACATCTGTATGGACAAATGCAGACCACTGGGTTGGGCTACAGCACACATGTCATGTAGGCAGGTGTTTCTTAACCTCAGAGTCCCTGGGAGGGAGTTTTCCTTTGGTTGGCAAAGACTTGCCATTGGAAGCGTGTGTTCCTGGACATGACACTCTTTTTAGCACAGGTAATGCCACAACTAGACGGCATGGATGTCTCTATAAGTTGTGTGATGGGGGGCAGTACCTGAGCTTTACTGTGCCATCGCATTTGCATATCATCCTTGTTACCACATCCGGCCCCATTTGTACTCTCTGCAGTGGAAAACCCCTACCACCAAAAGGAGGAAGTGGAGTTGGCATCTACAGACCAGGCCGAGGCTATCCCCAGGTAAACGTTCAGATGGGTTCAGGGTGTTTCAGCATGGACATCTGGAGATTGCACACAGGAAGGAGAGAATGTGCCCCAAGGGCCATTTATACCATTCAAAACTCCTTCCACAGAGACTCTGAGAGCAGCTCTCCAAACCTCCATGTGCTGTTGAGGTCCCCAAAGACTGTCCAGTCAACTCCCCCCAACATCCACTGAACACCTGCATAGTTACCTTGGGAACGAGTCAGCAGTCCAGGTCATTTCTAATGCCGCTGCTTCTGTGTGGCTTCCATTAAAGTGAGAGGCCTCTCCCTTGGCCCCTCTTCTTGTCCCTCATCAGCATCCCTGTGTTACATTCATAAAGACAGGGATTCCAATGCCCGGATGCATGCTACAGTGCTGATGTAATTAGGACACATCCTGAGGTAGTCCAGGGAGCTCAGGTGCTTTAGCTGGGTGGCAACATTCCACGACAAGGGGATTCTGTTCCCTGCAACTAGACAACTGGCTTCTGGCCAGCTTGTCCTTCTCTGTCCCCAGGGGGTTTTGAGAGTGGGCACCAGAGCCCTCTGCTCCTCAGTGTGTCTTCTGGCCGTTGGCTGCCAGCCTCCTCTCCTTCTGTCTTCCTCTCCCATACTCTCTGCCTTCTGCTGGGTCTTCCCTATCCAATGAAGGCTCGTTTGGATCAGGGGAGGATCTAGATCACATGGCTGTTAGTGGTCGGTCCTGTCCCTATTGGGTGACAGATCTCTCAGATTGCTAGGATGGTTTGGTGGAAATGGGTTGGGACTGAATGACCTTGTGTTAACCCTTCATGTTTTCTACCTCTTCCATCCTCCCCTCTGCATTCACACCTCAGGGTGTGTGGAGATCCACCCCCACTGGAAGGGCCAGATGCCATTGTGCCTATCCTCAAGGATGACGGGTCCTACGTGCTCTGTGCATATTGGGCAGATGAACCTGAAGCACCAGACCAGGCCTGGGCTAGGGCCTGGCACTTTACAACCCAGCAGCCCATCTGCTGTGCTGAGGCCATTGTGGGTGAGTCCTTTGATTTGATCTTGCTTCAGACCTGCCAAACCTGATTGTACCTCAGTGACACTGGCCTGCTTGTTCTAACCCCCAGAGAAAATGTCCTGATTTGGTAAGAAGTCCCTTAGCTCAATCTAGATGGTCTGAAGTAGAATCTTGGTGGAATTTGCAGCAAAGATGTATTACAGGCAGGTGTCTCATAACCTCAGAGCCCAAGGTTATGCTCCATTTTCTGGCACCAAAGCCAGTCATGTCGGCACCCAAGGCAGGTGTGGTGGCATGGATCCAGCGATATATACTATGCTCATGCATGGGGTGGGTTTTTTCCTAGGCCTTACTTGGTAGAGTGGGATGTCTTTGGCCAGTTGTAGGCTTCCCTGTGAGACCTCTGCCCCAACCATGGCTAAGATACTGCATGCCTGCCAGGACAGCTGTAGTCTTGGCTTACCTTCTCAGCCTGAGTTCTTAACCACACCCCCCCTAAACAGGACCACACTGTCTCTCTTATTTCCTTTGTGTGACATCACCCCTTATCTGAAGCCCGGGACCATGTACTAAGGGTTCTATCTGAAATTACCCATGCTGGCCTCGAGCCTCTCAGGATTCACTAAGGGGCACGGTGTCTGCATGGCACCAAAAGACTTCAATGGTGTGAAGCTCCTTGGGTTTCCCATGTTCATATTGCAGCAGAGTGTGTGAGCCTGGGAGTCTCCTACATTGGCTGCTGTGTGGGACGGTCCTCCCATTGTGTGTTTGGTCTCTTAGAACATATCTGACTCACAGGCCAAGGACACAAAATGTTGAAAATGGCTGACCAATTGGGAAGGTTAAGGTTCCTGTTGTGTGTTGTGAAACACCCCCAAAAGGAGGTAGAGCAGCATTGTTAGTCAGAGGACTTGAGCATTACTGGCATGTCCTCCTTGTTAATTAGGCTGTCACTATCCAAGGCTGTGCCACAACCAGACAGTACAGATTTACTCAGAATATGGTGGGACAGTTGTGATACCTGTGCCTTACTAGCCCGTTGCATTTGCATGTCATCTCATTTCCCATGCCCTGCCCCATTTGCACTCCTTTGCAGTGGAAGACTCCTCAAACAAAAAGGAGAAAGTCAAGGGGCATCCTCAGATCAGGCTGAGGCTTATGTCCAGGTAAGTGACAGCATGGCTCCAGGGTTTTTAGTATGGTATGGCTATCTGGTGATGGCAGAAATGGGGTGAGAGAAAGTGCCCTGTGAGATTTTTAAAACATTCATTGCTCCTCCCCAGGAAGACCTGGCACACCTCTTGAAATCCCCATGTGCTGAGTTACACTGCTGCTGCCCAGGTCACTGCCCAGTTATCTTCCCCTGGACACCTGCATACGTTTCCCTGGAAACCAGTCACCTATCTAGATCATTCCTAATACCACTGCTTCTGTGTGCTTTTCCTAAAAAGTGAAGGGCCACTCCCTCAGCCCCACTGCTTGTCCCTCATCAGCATCCCTTGTCCTTTTCTGTCTCCAGGGGTTGACAAGAGGCGCCCCAGGGCCCTCTGCTCTTCAGCATGCCTTCTGACAATTGCCTACAGCCTCCTCTCCTTCTATCTTCCTGTCCCATCCTCCCCGTGTTCTGTTGGGTCTGCACTGTCCATGTGACAGTTCACTTTGACTACACCAAGGGAGGCTCCAGATCAGATGGCTCTTAAGGGACGATCTTGTCTCTGTTGGGTGACAGACACTTTTGGACAGGAAGGATTGGTGGGACTGGTTTGCAACTGAATGACTTTGTGTTAAACATTCCTCTTTTCCTCCCATCTTGTCCTGCCCTCTGCATTCACACCTCAGGGTGGGTGAAGATCCACCCCCACTGGAAGGGCCAGATGTCATCGTGCCTATCTTCCAGGGTGACGGATCCTACCTGCTCTGTGGATTTTGGGCTGATGAGTCTGAAGCACCAGTCCAGGCCTGTGCTGAGCCCTGGCACCTTACAACCCAGAAGCCCATTTGTTGTGCTGAAGCCATTGCGGGTGAGTCCTTTGATGTGACTCTAGCTGCAGACCTGATAAACCTCCTGAGTGCACCTGGTGACCCTGCTTTCTTGAACACTGCTGGGAAAGATTGTGATGGGGTAGGCTGAACCATGGGGCAGATCTAGATTGACAGAGCAGAACCTGGGGTAGAGTTTGCTGCACTAATTTAGGCATGTGTTATTTAACCTGAGATCCCCATGTTATGCCCCATGCTCAGCAATGAATCGACCATGTCACTGTGCCCAAAGCAGGTGTGATGGCATGGCCCGGGCTTTGGAGCCTGTGCTCATTCATGTGACAGGGTTTTCTTCCAGGCCTCCACTTGAAGAGTGGGATGCCTTTTATCAGTGCAGGCTTCCTTGTGAAACCTCTGCCCCATTTGGTTACCAAGACACTGCATGCCTGCCAGGACAGCTATTTGGCTACTTTCTCAGCCTGAGATCTCCACCAGATCCGCTGAGTAGGGTCACACTCTTCACATTCCCACTGTGGTGATGTCATTCCAATCAGGAATCCTCAGCCATGTATTGAGGGTTCCATCCTGAAGTAGTCAGTGCTGGCTCGTGTCTATCTGGATGCTCTAAGGGGCACAGTGTCTGCCTGGCACCGAAAGACTTCAGTGCTGTGAGCCCCTGTTGGATTCACATGTTCACATTGCAGCAGAGTGTGTGTGCCTGGGAATCTCCCACTTTGGATGTTGCATGGGATGGTCCTCCCATTGTGTGTTGGTCTCTTAGAACATATCTGACTCACAGGCCAAGGACACATATGGTTGAAAATAGCTGACCACTTGTGGAAGATCAGGATGCCTGTTTTGTGTTATGAAAAACTTCCCAGGTAGGGAGGGAGGGCTACATTATTAGACAGAGGACTTGCCATTCCAGGCTTGTCCTCCTGTGAGTGAGGCTGTGGCTAACACAGGCAGTTCCACAACTTGACAGCATAGGTGTCTTCAGAAGCTGTGTGACAGTGGGTGGTGCCTTACTTTATGCCATCTCATGTACATGTCATCCCATTGACCACATCCTGCCCCATTTGCACTCTCTGCAGTGGAAGAGCCCTCCTGCAAAAAGGAGGAAGGGGACTCAGCATCTGCAGAGCAGGCCGAGGCTATACCCAGGTAAGTCGGCAGATGGGGTGGGGTTATTTATTATGGACTCCTGGAGATGGCAGACATGGGGAGGAGAGAATGTGCCCCATAAGCAATATTTACCATTCAAAGCTCCTCCCATGAATATTCTGCGAGTACCTCTTCAAAGTTCCATGTGGTGAGGCTGGCCCCAGGGGTCTGGGAGAGGGACACCAGAGCCCTCTGCTCCTAGAATGCTTTCTGGCCTTCTATTGACAGCGACCTCTCCTTCTGTCTTCCTGTCCCATCCTCTCTGCATCCTGCTGTGTCTGCCCAATCCTGTGAAGGGTCTCTTTGTCTGAACAAGGGGAGGATCTAGATCAGATGGCTCTTAGAGAATGCTCCTGTCCCTATTGGTGAAAGACTCTTTCTGAGAGCTAGGAAGGGTTAGCAGTGCTGGGCTGCAACTGAGTGACTTTGTGTTAAGCCCTCATCTTTTCCTCCCCTCTTGTCCTGCCCTCTGCATTCACACCTCAGGGTGTGTGGAGATCCACCCCCACTGGAAGGGCCAGATGCCATCGTGCCTATCCTCAAGGAAGATGGATCCTACCTGCTCTGTGGATATTGGGCTGATGAGCCTGAAGCACCAGTCCAGGCCTGGGGGGGCCTGGCACTTTACAACCCAGCAGCCCATCTGCAGTGCTGAGGACACTTTGGGTGAGTCCATTGATATGATTCTTGTTGCAGGTATGATAAACCTATGAGCATCCCAATGACCCTAGTTGCTTGCTCTAAGCCCCTGGGGAAAGGTGGTGTGTGTAGGCTTTCCCCAGGGCTACATCTGGATGGACTAAGGCAGAACCCTGGGTGGGTTTGCAGCATGGATGTAGTCTAGGCAGGTGTTTCTTGCCCCAGCCCTGTGCCATGACCCTGCCATTTCTCCCAGGAAATCTGTACTCCTGGCTACCTTCTCAGCCCAAGATCTTAACCAGATGCTCTTGAAGTGGGCTGTTCATTCTCTTGTTCCCCTGGTGGAGACTGCACTTCCCCTCTGGAACACTTAACCATGTACTGGGGGTTCCATCCTGAGGTTGTCAATGCTGGCCCCGTGCATCTCGGGATCCACTAGGACCACAGTGTCTGCATGGCACCAAAAGGCGCCCGTGTGTGGGAAGCTCTATGGGTTTCCCATGTTCATTTTATGGCAGGGGATAATAACCAGGGAGTCCCCACATTGCCTGCAGGATCAGATGAGCCTCTAATTGTGCAGTTGAACACTGAGACACCTCAGAGAGCCAGGGGATTGAATGTGGCTGACCCCTGTGGGAGATCAGGATGCCGATGAGTGAGTTGACACACTCTCAACAGGGAGGGAGATTTCCATTGTTGGGCAGGGACTTGTCAAAACATGCATGTCCTTATGGTTTGGTTCTGTTGTTAACCAAGATAGTACCACAACCAGACAGCATAGATATCCTTGGAATCTGGTGTGACAGTAGGCGGTACCTGTGCTTTAGCATGCCCTCACATTTGCTTATCATCTCATTTGCCATGTCCTGCCCCATTTGCACATCTTTGCAGTGGAAGAGCCCTCATTTCAAGAGGAGGAAGGGTGGTGGCACCTGCAGACCAGGCCGAGGCTAATCAGAGGTAAACCTAGAGATGGGTTGAGGGGGCTTTACTAGGGACCCCTAGAGATGGAAGACGTGGGAGAAGAGAAATTGCCCCACTCAAATCTCTTCCTACAAATGCTCTGGAGCACCTCTTGAAGGCTCCATGTGCTGAGGTGGACCCCAAATCCTGCCAGATGCCATCACTTATCCTCCTTTGGACACCTGCACAAATATTCCTGGGCCCAGTCTCCTGTTGAGGTCATTCCTCGTGCCACTGCTTCTGTGTGGCCTCTCTAAAAACTGAGGGCAACTCCCTCAGCCCCTCTGCTTTTCCTTCATTAGCAACCCTGCAATACGATGATAAAGACAGGGATGCACTGCACAGTTCTGACAGAAATGGGACCCATCCTGGGGTTGTTAAGTACTTTCCCTGGGTTGGAGCATTTCACATTAATGAGAATCTTTTCCCTGAAACTAGACAACTTGCTTCTGGCCGGCTTGTCCTTCATTGTCCTCAGGGGGCTGTGAGAGTGGGCACCAGCACCCTGTGCTCCTTCTTCAAGCCTTCTACTGACAGCTTCCTTCCTCCTATCTTCCTGTCCCAGCCCCTCTGCATTCTAATGTGTCTGCCCTGTCCATGTGAAGGCTCATGTTGTCTGAACCAGAGGATGAGTTAGATCAGATCGATCTTAGAGGATAATCCTGTCTCTTGGGTGACAACCCTTTCAGACTGCTAGGAGGGATTGGTGGGACTGGGTGGAACTGAATGACCTTGTGTTAAGCCCTCATCTTTTCCACCCCTCCCAGCCTCTGCTCTGCATCACACCTCGGGGTGTGTGAAGATCCACCCCCACTGGAAGGGCCAGATGTCATTGTGCCTATTCTCAAGGATGATGGGTCCTACATGCTCTGTGCAGTTTGGATGGATGATCCTGAAGCGCCAGTCCAGGCCTGGGCTGGGCCTGGCACCCTACAACCCAGCAGCCCATCTGCTGTGCTGAGGCCATTGTGGGTGAGTTCTTTGATGTGAAACTTGGTGCAGGGCAGCCAAACCACAGGAGTACACCCATAAACCCTTGGCCTGCTTTCTGCAACACTCTGGAAAAGGTCTGAAATCTTAGGCTATCCACTAGACTTCATTGAGGTGGACTGAGGCAGAACCTTGTGTGGAGTTTGCAGCAACTGTTTAGTGTAGGCAGGTGTTTCTTAACCTCAGAGCCCAGGTTATTCTCCACTTTCTGGCACCAAAGCCAGCTGTGTCACTGTGCCCAAGGCAGATGTTGTGGCATCGATCCACCATGAGCCTGTGCTCATGCATGCGACAAGGTATTTTTCTAAGGCTCCTCTTGGAAGAGTGGGATGCCTTTTGCCAGTGGCAGGCTTCTCTGTGAGACCTCTGCCCCAGCAATTTGCAAAGACAATGTCTGCCCACTAGGCCAGCTATACTTCTGGTCACCTTGCTGAACTGAGATCTTAATCACATCCCTTCAAACAGGGCCATACTGTCTCTTATTCCTACTGTGGTGATGTCATACCTCATCTGGAACCCTGGGCCATGTCCTGAGGGCTCCATCCTGTGGTAGCCAGTGCTGGCCTATTGCCTCTCGGGGTTCACTAAGGGACACAGTGTCTGCATAGCACCAAAAGTCTTAGTAGTGTGAAGCTCTGAGGGTTTCACATATTCATATTGCAGCAGAGTGTGTGAGCCTGGGAGTTCCCACCATGGCTGTAGGATGGGATGAGCTTCTCATTGTGTGGTTGGTCTCTTAGAACATATCTAATTCATAGGCCAAGGGCCCATATGATTGAAAACAGCTGACCACTTGTGGAAGATCATGATGCCTGTTGTGTGTGATGAAACACTCCCAAGAAAGGGAGGGCTGCATTGTCAGGCAGAGGACTTGCCATTGCAGGCCTGCCCTCCTGGGAGTGAGGCAGTGGCTGACCAAGGTCATGTGACCACACCTTTCTTAGGAAGATGCTAGAATATGGTGTGGTACCTGTGCTTTACTAGGCCATCGCATTTGCATGGCATCTCATTTCACATGTCCTGCCTCATTTGCATTTCTTTGCAGTGAAAGATGCCACCTACCAAAAAGAGAAAGTCATGTTGGCAACTGCTGATTGGGCTGAGGCTACCTCCAGGTAAATCGACAGATGTGTTCAGGGTGTTTTAGTATGGACATGGGGAGATATCAGACGTGAGGTGAGAGAATGTGCCCTTTGTGTGATTTATATCATTCAGTTTTCCTCCCACAATGACTGGATGCACTCTGAAAGCTTCATGTGCTGAGTTGCACTGTAACACTGCTCACCATTTACCCTCATGGACCCCTGTATAAATTTCCCTGGAAACCGTCACCTGTCTAGGTCACTCCTAATGCCACTACTTCTGTGTGGCCTCTCTAAAAAGTGAGGGCACTCCTTGGTCCCTCTGCTTGTCCTTCATCAGCATCCCTGTGGTGCGATGGTGAGACAGGGAGTGTGCAGGGCATGATGACACCACAGTGCTGATGGAAATGGGACCCATCCGAGGCTGTCTGGAGTACTGAAGAGCTTTAGCTGGGTGGGAACATTGCACCCCAAGGGGATTCTTTCCCTGGAACTAGACAACTGGCTTCTGGCCAGCTTGTTCTTCTCTGTCCCAGGATGCTGTAAGAGGGCCCTCTGGCCTTGGGCTGACAGACTCCTCTCCTATTTTCCTGTCTCACCTTCTCTGCATCCTGCTGGGTCTGCCCTGTCCCTGTGAGACTCACTTTGAATCAAGGGAGGATCCATTTGATGGCTGTTAGTGGATGGTCCTGTCCCCATTGTGTGACAGACCTTAAGGACTGCTAGGAAGGTTTGGTGGAACTGGGTTGGAACTCAATGATTTTGGTTTAAGCCCTCATCTTTCCCAATCCTCTCATCCTCCCCTCTGCTTTCACCCCTCAGGGTGAGTGGAGATCCACCCCCACTGGAAGGGCCAGATGCCATCGTGCCCATCCTCAAGGATGATGGGTCCTACATGCTCTGTGCATATTGGGCTGATGAGCCTGAAGCCCCAGTCCAGGCCTGGGCTGGGGCCCTGCACCCTATAATCCAGCAGCCCATCTGCTGTGCGGAGGCCATTGTGGGTGAGTCTTTTGGTGGGAATCTTGCTCTAGACCTGCCAAACCAGCTGAGTGCACCCTAGTGACAGAGGCCTGCTTGCTCTATACCCCTGGGGAAAGGTGTGATGTGGCAGGAACTCTGCGCTACTTCTGGATGGACTAAGCAGAGCCCTGGGTGGAGTTTGCAGCAGGGATGTAGTGTAGGCAGGTATTTCATAACCTCAGAGCCCCAGGTTATGCTCCGTTTTCTGACAAGCAAGCTGACCATGTTGCTGCATAAGAGGCAAGTGTGATGGCAGGGCCCCAGCCTGTGCTCCTGCATGTGTCAAGGATTTCTTCTAGCCTACACATGGAAGAGTGGGGCACCTTTGGCCAGTGACAGGCTTCCCTTGAGGCCTTTGCCCTAGATGCCATTACACTGCATGCCTGCCACCACAGCTCTACTCGGGTTACCTTCTCAGCCTGATATCTTTCTCAGATCCCGATGAACTGGGCATGCTGTCTCTCTCATCCAATTGTGTTGATGTCATCTAGAACCCTGAGCCATGTCCTGAGGGTTCCATGCTGAGGTTGCCAGTGCTGGCCTCATGCCTCTCAGGATCCACTAAGGGCCACTGTGTGAATGACACCAAAAGGCTCCTGTGTGTGTGAAGCTCTGTGGGTTTCATATGTTCATACTGTGGCAGGGTGTACGTGCCCAGGAGTCCCCCACCAATGACTGCTGTGGGGATGAGCCCCCTGTTGTGACACATCAGACATAGACCAAGGAGCCATGGTGAAAGCGGCTGGCCCCTCATGGAAGATCAGGATGCCTGATCTGTGGCTATCACACTCCGGACAGGCAGGGAGCTCTCCATTGGTAGGCAGAGGACTTGCCATTGCAGCATGTCCCTGGGAGTGAGGCTGTTGCTAACACCTGTTCACTAAGTGAGCAGCATAGGTCCTCAGAAGCTGGTGGGGCATTTGTGATACCTGGCTTTACTATGAGAATGTGTTTGCATGCCATCTCATTGACCATGTCCTGCCCCATTTGCCCTCCTTGCAGTGGAAGATGCCTCCAGCCAGAAGGAGAAAATAGAGGTGGCATCTGCAGAGCAGACTGAGGCCACACCCAGGTAAATCTGCAGATGGGGTGTTTCTTTCTTTCTTTTTTTTTTTTAGTGTGAATATCTGGAGATTTGTGACACGGTGGGAGACAATGTGCAACTGGAGTCCATTTATAGCATTCAAAGTTCCTCCCAAGTAGACTCTGTCTAAGGAGGGCCCCAAACACTTTCCACGTCAGCCCCATGTCCAGCCTCCATTGGACAGCTGCAGAAGTTTCCCTGGGAAAGTCACCAGGCCAGGTCATTCCTAATGCCACTGCCTCTGCGTGGCCCATTGAGAGAACGACCTCTCGCTCAGCCTGTCGGTTGTCTCTCATCAGCCCCCCCACCCCGCAGTACAATGGTAGATACAGGGAATGTCCACTGCACCCATGCACTCCTTAGTGCTGAGGGAATGGGGACCATCCTGAGGTGCTCTGTGGTGTTAACGGGCTTTAGGAGGGTGTGAGAATTCCACCAAAGGGGACTCTTTCACTGAAACTAGACAACTGGCTTCTGGCAATCTTGTCCTTTTCTGTCCCCCTGGGGAAGGGGGGTGAGTGTTGGAGAGGGGCGGCGAGCCCTGTGCTCCACAGTGAGACTTCTGGCCTTCTACTGACAGCCTCCTTGTCTCCTGTCTTGCTGTCCAGTTTCTCTACATCCTGCTGGGTCTGCCCTATCTGTGTGAAGGGTCACTGTGTCTGAAGCAGGGAGGATCTAGATCAGAGGCTTTTAGAGGGTGATCCTGTCCCTATTGGGTGAAAGATGCTTTCAAAATGCTAGGAAGGTTTGGTGCGACTGGGTTGGAACTGAAAGAATTTGTGTTAAGCCCTCATCTTTTCCTCTCCTCCTGTCCCCTCCTCTGCATTCACACCTCAGGGTGGGTGAAGATCCACCCCCACTGGAAGGGCCAGATGTCATCGTGCCTATCCTCAAGGATGACGGATCCTACCTGCTCTGTGCATATTGGGCAGATGAGCCTGAAGCCCCAGTCCAGGCCTGGGCTGGGGCCCTGCACCCTACAGCCCAGCAGCCCATCTGCTGTGCTGGCCATTCTCGGTGAGTCCTTTGATGTGACTCTAGCTGCAGACCTGATAAACCTCCTGAGTGCACTCCTATAACCCTGGCCTGGTGCTCTGACTCCACTCATCATCTGGAATCCTAGGGAATGTACTGAGGATTCCATCCTGTGGTTGCCTGTGCTGGCTCGTGCCTCTCAGGATCTACTAAGAACCACAGTGTCAGCATGGCACCAAAAGGCTCCTGTGTGTGGAGCCCTGAGGGTTCACATGTTCATATTGTGGCACAGTGGAGGAATCTGGGAGTCCCTCACCATGGCTTAGGATTGGATGAGCCCCCATTGTGTGGTTGGTCACTTAAAACACATCTGGGTGTCAGCGCCATGGTGCAGTAGGTTAATCCTCTGCCTGCAGTGCCAGTACCCCATATGGGCACCTGTTCTAGTCCTGGCTGCTTCACTTCCAGTATAGCTCTCTGCTATGGCCTGGGATAGTAATATAAGATTGCCCAAGTCCTTGGGCCCCTGCACCTGCATGGGAGAACAGGAAGAAGTGCCTGGCTCCTGGCTTCAGATTGGCACAGCTCTGGCTGTTGTGGCCATCTGGGGAGTGAACCAATGTAAGGAAGACCTTTCTCTGTCTCTCCCTCTCACTGTAACCCTAACTCAATTAAAATAAATAAAATCTTTAAAAAAGTAACACACACCTGGAACTTACAACATATAGCCATGGGATTGAGAGCAGCTGATCACTTTTGGAAGATCAGGATGCCAAATGAGTGAGAGGACACACGCCCAGCAGGGAGGGAGATTTCCACTATTGGGCAGAGGACCTGTCTAAACAGGCATGTCCTCCTGTTTGGAGCTGTTGCTAAGCAAGGTAGTGCCACAGCTGGACAACATAGATATCCCTGTGTGACTGTGGGTGGTACCTGAGCTTTAATATACCATCGCTTTTGTTCGTCATCTCATTTACCATGTCCTGCCCCATTTGCACATCTTTGCAGTGGAAGAGCCCTCATCACAAGAGGAGGAAGGGAAGGTGGCACGTGCAGACCAGGCTGAGGCTAATCAGAGGTAAATCTACAGATGGGTTGAGGGTGTTTTACTCTGGACATCTGGCATGGCAGACACGGGAGGAGAGAAAGGGACCCATGAGCCATTTTTCCCATTCAAATCTCATCCTACAGACTGTGGACCATGTCTTGAAAGCCCCATGTGCTGAGGCAGGTCACAAACACTGTGCAGGTCACCAACTACATATCCTCTTTGGAACCTACATAAGTTTTCCTGGGGTCCAGTCATGCCGAGGTCATTCCTCATGCCACACTTTTATGTCACCTCCATAAAAAGTGTTTGGCAGCTCCCTCAGCCCCTCTGCTTGTGCTTCATCCACATCCCTGCAGTACAACAATAAAGACAGGATGTCCAATGCACCAATGCTCTCCGCAGTGCTTAGTGAAATGGGATCAATGCCAAGGCATTGGTTGTTAAACTGCTTTCATTGGTTGGAAGCATTCCAGACCAAGGGGATTCTTCTCCCTGAAACTAAACAGGCTTCTGGTCAGCTTGTCCTTTCCTGTCCCAGGGGGCTGGGAGAGGGACACAGAACCCTCTGATCCTCAGTGCCTTCTGCCCTTCGGCTGCCATCCTTCTCTCCTCTGTCTTCCTGTCCCATCCTTCTCTGCATCCTGCTGGGTCTTAGCTATCTGTGTGAAGGCTCACTTTGTCTGCACCAGGGGAGGATCTAGATCAGATGGCTCATAGAGATTGATTCCTTCCCTGTTGGCTGACAGACCCTTTCAGACTGCTGGGAAGATTTGGTGGAACAGGGTTGGAACTGAATGACTTTGTGCTAAGCCCTCATCTTTTCTACCTCTTTCATCCTCCCCTCTGCATTCACACCTCAGGGTGTGTGGAGATCCACCCCCACTGGAAGGGCCAGATGTCATCGTGCCTATCCTCAAGGATGATGGATCCTATGTGCTCTGTGCATATTGGGCAGATGAGCCTGAAGCACCAGCCCAGGTCTGGGCTGAGGCCTGGCATGCAAAAACCCAGCAGTCCATCTGCTGTGCTGAGGCTTTTTGGGTGAGTCCTTAGATGTGAATCTTGCTGCAGACCTGTCAAAGTGCCCGAGTGGACTCCTATGACCAGGCCTGCTTGCTGTTACTCCCCAGGGAAAGGTGGTGATGTGGCAGGCTGTCCCCTGGGCTATATCTGGATGGACAGAGGCAGAACCCATGGTGGAGTTTGCAGCACAGTTGTAGTGTGGCTGGTGTGTCTTGGCCTCATAGTCCCAGGATATGCCCCCCTTTCTGACACTGACACTGACACTTGTTGTGCCTGAAGCACGTGATGGGGCATGGCCCCAGCTTTTGTTACTAAACTTTTGTTGCTGAACAAATTATTTACTCTTAAGTATTTATATCTCATTTGAGGGTTTTGGGAAAAAATATCTGTATTCTTTCTGTTGGACTATTAAGTCAAATGGTTTGCAGAATGTCTGACTTAGAATTGTTTTGTAGATTCTAGGTTTTCTTAGTAACTCATGCACTGCAGACGAGCTGAGTTTTGTCCTAGTCTCTGTCACTGCTGAGCAGTGCCTCCAGACTCAGCTGGCAGCAGGCCCTGACCAAGACTCTCATTTGATTTCTTTCTGTCTCCCTCTCAGGTGCTAAGAACTTCCTCTGGTGGATACCATGAAACCTGACTCTGTTCATTCCAGACCCCATTTATATTAAAGTTTGGTTTTGTTAATTATTTGGGTTGAATATTTTGCTCCATCTTTAAACCTCAAATACATGGATTAGTATAACACTGGAACCTGGAATTCTAGGTGTCTTCTGATAA